CATTGCATAAAGCTTTCGCTTACATCTTCACGATTTTCAACTCTACACAGGTAAGGCGTAGAGACAAACTTAATTAAAGTTCAAAAGTCGTTTTGTTTTATCAGTTATTGATGGATTCATAAAGAGAGAGGTGTTACTTCGCTAGCTCAATGCTTCAAAAGCTGTGCAGCTCTCGTAAAAGTCTAGCATTATCGTAATAGCTTGACACAGATTCTGGACATTTCTTCCATTTAACAGGGTTTCTTCATCTTTCTTCTTCACTGCGTAAGGAACAGCGAGGTGAGTGATTGTTCAATTAGAAAATTGTCAAAGTCCGATAATATATCGATTTTAACAAGTACAGCAGAGACCGGGATGTTTTATTTTACGCGTCCTATCGAAGAAACGAAACCCTATTGGGCAGGGCTCATTCTTGGATCGAACTTTCTAGACAGATGGACTCGACGTGACAATGGCAGCAAACTATGACCAAATTTTATCAATGTATTTCCATATTCTATCGGGCGTGGAGCTTCAAAAGTGCGCTAGAGCTCCACATTCAAACTAATTCCCATCTCCTTGGAAGGGGCATGGGGGAGGAGGGGGAAGAAGAAAGGACATGGATTTCCAATTCACGAGACAGATCATTGATTTGTCGTACAAAGTGCTTAAAGTTGGTATTGCAATTGATAACCCTTCTTAGGGAAGAAAAGGAAGTAGTTACACTGCATCTATTACATTTATAAATGTACCTGTCCTCATTACTTTCAGATAACTGAATGACCTCAAATTCCGCTATGGCTTGAGAAAATTTGTTGGTATTGAACCTCCATTCATATCATATAACAAAACAAAATCAAAGGCAAAAAGACTTAGAGTGACATACTCCTTAAATGTAACAATATGGTTCATTTAACCTGCAATTTACAGATAAGAGCTCGTTTGACAAGAAGGATTCAGGCGATATTCCCAGCAATGGACGATGGGACAAGCACGAGACAAACTTCCGTAGCTCCCTCGGACGTAAATGAGGATGCCACAACCATTGCCGTCCTGAGAAAAGTAAATTTTGCGCCACTAAAGGACGGCGAAAAGACAAAAAAAAAAAGTCTCCAACAAAACCTCCATGTAGCTGCAGAGTTTTAATTTATCCCAGCGTTGATTGTATAGAGGCTAACCCTTTTACAGGCAAACCTGAGATTATTAAGATAATTCTCGGTAGCTGGAAAGGACAACATGAGAACTCGACCATGTGCTCCCTTAATGGATAATTAGACGAATTCTTATTACGTGGAAACGAGGCAAAAGCTGATAGTCTGAGGTGCTCTCACATCACTTACATTGTACATCACAGCGATAGTTGAAAGTGTAATATCGTAGTACGGCATAGTCAAGCAAAATATCGCAAGTTGTGAATCTTACTATAGTTACTAATAGCTAATGATACAGTATTATATCTAAATGGCCACTGACAGAAAACCCGAGGGTAAAACAATAGTAAGGGAAAAAAAAAAACAGTCTCAAATCTCTTGTTACAGGAGACTTTAGCGATTTTCTCCTGTGAATGTTTAAGGATATTTGTTCGTTGTTTCTGGTACTCTAGCCGTTCTCAATTCATGCGAGTTTCTTTCATTGCGATGTTTTAAAAATATATAAAAAAAGCCACAATAGATTTTGGAAATAGATTTTGCATCGTTAACTTTTCAGTCTTGTTAAATTCTAGTGAGATTGTAGGCAAAGAAAAGGTTTAATGATATTTCTGGCAAAATTAGTAGTCATGGTAGTTGGCAGCTGAGTTTATACTCGTGATTTCAATTTCCTTTCATACGATCAAACTTAACACCAACCTTGCTTAGATAAGCGGAAACTTTAATTGTATTTTTCATTTTGTTTTGTAAGCTACTTTATTGTAATTTCCATGTATATTTCTAACATCAAAGCTGTGAATTCTCACCTAAGTTTCCTAATTTTAATGACCTCGAGTTTATTCTAGCCTTTCTTTTAATTTGAAATTCTTTTCGTCGTAGAAACAGTTGGGAATATTTAAGAATTTAACCTCAAAGACCTTTGCCGCTTCTTTTGTTATACTGTTCAAATATGGTCGATTTAGATAACAATAGCACCTCACACCAATTAGTTCACAAGCAGCTACATTGTACAGCTCTGATGATTACAAGTTAAGTTTTGATTCTAGCATGATGTATGTCAGAGTGCTCTACGAATAAAGTTTACTCTGGAACCAAAACGCTGTCTCATCCTTGACGTCCCCATATGCTCGCTCGTAGTAAATCTCTATGGGGTGCCATTACCGCCAAAATTATATTTTTAAAATTATTTAGCCTTTTTTTCATCAACCACTTACTTTTACGAATTCACCATACTTGCCACAATATTATTTAGCCCATTTCAAAAGTTATTCAGCCTTATTTTCATTAACCACCTACTTTTACGAATTAAACATACTTGACACAATATTATTCAGCCCATTTTGAAAATTATTCAGCCATTTTTCATGGGGCCTGTTTTCAGTTATATTTCAAAATAACTTGCGGGATTGTGAACATAACCCAGAGTTCTTTTCACGTCCTTTTCGTTGCAATAAGGCCGACAGTGGAGGGATCGCGGATGTTGCACGTTTGCTCTCCCAAGCTGCTACCAATTTGATAAGTCTAGCACCTCAATCATCACAAGACCTTCGAGAAACTAATACTACTTCTGATCGAGCTCAAGCTGAGTTGAAACGAGCGTTTTCTCCGTACCAAAAAGTTCACAACGCTCCATCACCAGTTGTAAGCAACACAACTGCACGTGGAACATCAAGTCAAGCAAAACATTTCACCGTCACAAGGGCCGCAAAAGGGAGGAAGAAAAAAACCAAAGAACTAACAGCAAAATTCTTTTGTTTGGCATACACTGCACAAGATGAAG